ACGCTGCGCCTCCCTCCCGTGACTGCCTTTATGACCGGCAATCTCTGCTTCCGAATCGCTTCCCTCCGGCCACCTTGAAAGGCGGGCGTCCGGGATGCCAGACTGTCACAAGCTCATTGACTGAATCTGCAACCGACGTGCGGCCGAGTGTTTGGGGAACTGGATGATGAAACCCACGGCTTGCTATTTTTAGTGATGGAGTGAGCCAGGGAGTGATTAGGGGAAAGCTGACGGCTTAAAGGTGAATTAATCATTACCAGAAAGACAAACAGCTGTGAATGGCGGCGTGCACACACAGATGCCCTTTTCCCACACGCAAACGTCTCATCATGATCGTTCCCACACACGGTGCTGGGAAAGCTGGTACCCACCTGCAGAAGAATGAGGGGGGCCCGGCCAGTGTGGCTCAGGGGGCAGAGCGCTGGCCTGCGGAGGGAAGGGTCCCCCGGCCATGGGCACGTACCTCGGTTGCAGGCTCAAGTCCAGGCCATGGTCTGGGCAAGTGCAGGAGGCAGCAACGTGTGTCTCTCTCACATCAGTGTTTCGCTTTCTGTCTCTCCTCCTCCTCCCTTCCACCCTTTCTAAAAAATCTGTTTATTTAAAAATATACGCCTTGCCGAAACTGGTTTAGCTCAATGGATAGAGCGTCGGCTTGGGGACTGAAGGGACCCGGGTTCGATTCCGGTCAAGGGCATGTACCTTGGTTGCTGGTACATCCCCTGTAGGGGATGTGCAGGAGGTAGCTGATCGATGACGCTCTCTCATCGATGTTTCTAACTCTCTGTCTCTCTCCCTTCCTCTCTGTACAAAAATCAATAGAATATATTTTTTAAAAAATGCACCTTGACTGGGAGTTGAACCCATGACCTCTCAGTGTGCCGGCTGATGCTCGAACCAACTCCGTCACACTGGCCAGGGCTAAGACGGCACATTTTTTAAAAAATATATTTTTTATTGATTTTTTACAGAGAGGAAGAGAGAGGGATAGAGAGTTAGAAACATCGATGAGAGAGAATCATCGATTAGCTGCTGCCTCTTGCACACCTACTACCGGGATGTGCCCGCAACCAACGTACATGTCCCTGATGGGAATCGAACCTGGGACCTTTCAATCCCCAGACCGACACTCTATCCACTGAACCAAACCGGTTTCGGCTAAGATGGCACATTTTATGCTGTGTGTATTTGATTACAATTTTTTTTTTTTTTTTAAGATCTTGAGCTCTGGCCAGTGTGGCTCCGTGGTTAGAGCGTCAGCCCATGTGTGGAAAGCAAGGTCACAGGTTCGATTCCTAGTCAGGAGCACATATCTGGGTTGCAGGCTTGAGCCCAGCTCCCGTGTGGGCAAGCATGGGAGGTAACCCATTGATGTGTCTCTCTCACATCAACGTTTCTCTCTCTCCCTCCCTCCCTCCCTCCCTTCCACTCTTTCTCTAAACAATCCACAGAAAAGGTATTCTTGGGTGAGGATTAACAAAATAAGTAAACACACAAACAAATCAACTGTCATTTTTCTTTTTAAAAAGATATTTCTTGATTTCAGAGAGGAAGGGAACAGGAGAGAGAGATAGAAACATCGATGATGCGAGAGAATCATTGATCAGCTGCTTCCCATCACCCCCCACCCCCCGCCACTGGGGATGTGCCCGAAACCCAGGCATGTGCCCTTGGCCAGAATCGAACCTGGGAAAATTCAGTCCTCGGCCGACGCTCTACCCACTGAGCCCAGCCGGTTAGGGCATCAAGCCGACATGTTCGATGACAGCTCGGCACGGCAGTGCCTGCGGGCGGGGCCGGTGGCCTCCATCCGTGTTTCGGTTGGCAGATGCCACGTGCCTTGAGCCAGGGTGAGTTTTGTCACTTTGGACGTTGGACTCATTCACGACTTCCTCTGTGACATCGGAGTGGAGTGGCGTCTCTCCGGAGACCTTTGCTTTGGCCGGCAGCGCTGGGTCTGTCACTCGTCCAACCGCTCCTCCCCGCTTCCCCCACCTGACCCGGGGCGACTTCAGACCCAGCCCACGTGACTGGTCGCCTGCTGGTTACACACTTTTAAAAAATATATATATATATCTTATTGATTTTTTTACAGAGAGGAAGGGAGAGGGATAGAGAGCTAGAAACATCGATGAGAGAGAAACATCCATCAGCTGCCTCCTGCACACCCCCCACAATGGGGATGTGCCTGCAACCAACGTACATGCCCTTGACAGGAATCGAACCTGGGTCCCTTGAGCCCTCAGGTCCACACTCTATCCACTGAGCCCACCGGTGAGGGCTTTTCTTCTTCTTTTTAATATGTTTCTCTTATCAATTCAGAGAGGAAGGGAGAGGGAGACAGAAACATCCATGATGAGAGAGAAGCATTGATTGGCTGCCTCCTGTTCCCCCCACACTGGGGATCAAGCCGATAACCCGGGCATGTGCCCTTGGCCGGAATCGAACCCGGGACCCTTCAGTCTGCAGGCCAACGCTCTGTCCACTGAGCCAAACCTACTAGGGCTTTTTAAAAATTTAACATGTTTATTGATTTCAGAGAGGGAGGGAGGAGGAGAGAGAGAGAGAGAGAGATCAATGATGAGAGAGAATCATGGATCGGCTGCCTCCTGCACACCCCCTACTGGTGATCGAGCCCACAACACGGGCAGGTGCCCTGGGTCAGAATCGAACCCGGGACCCTTTAGTCCGCCGGCCGAGCTCAACCAGTCAGGGCACCCGCTTCTCCTTGACCGGGAATCGATGTTCTACCACGGAGCCACGCCGGCCAGCCTGGCTCTCTGCCCTCTCATCGGCGTATACATGCCTGTCCCAGGGGCGGCAGCACGGGTTTCATTGGCGGGGGAGCTTGAACTTGGTAAAATTTTGAACTAATAGACGAATCTCAAGCCTTGTGCAGAGAACCCCAGGTTCCCCATCCCCACCCCCATTTACTCTCTCTCTCTCTCTCTCTCTCTCTCTCTCTCTCTCTCTCTCTCTCTCTCTCTCTCGGTCATGTATTTACATTTCCAGAAGCATTCGAGAAAACATTGGTGATACCATGTCCCTTTGTCCCTAAACACCTCCGTGTGTGTTTGCTAAGGACAAGGGCATTCCTTTTAAGAATCACAATACGAGGATCAAAACCAGACAGTGTGAGGTGGACAGATTCCTACTATCTGCCACGCAGACACCACCCAGGGCGGGAAGTCCCTCCTCCTGGAATTGCCATCCAGGGGCTTCTCTCTGGTCTCTGTTCACATGAGCAGGTCTGTCTTTCTCCTTCTTGACCTTTACACTTTTTATTTATATATTTATTTATTTTTTTTAATACATTTTATTGATTTTTCATAGAGAGGAAGGGAGAGAGATAGAGAGTGAGAAACATCGATGAGAGAATCATCGATCAGCTGCCTCTTGCACATCCCCTACCGGGGATATGCCCGCAACCAAGGCACATGCCCTTGACCGGAATCGAACCCGGGACCCTTCAGTCCCCAAGCCGACGCTCTATCCATTGAGCCAAATCGGTCCCGGCAGACCTTGACACTTTTTAAAAAAATATTTTTTATTGGCCAAAATCAGTTTGGCTCAGTGGATAGAGCATCAACCTGTGGACTGAAGCGTCCCGGGTTCGATTCCGGTCAGGGGCATGTACATTGGTTGCGGGCACATCCCCGGTGGGGGGTGTGCAGGAGACAGCTGGTCGATGTTTCTCCCTCATCGATGTTTCTAGCTCTCTATCCCTCTCCCTTCCTCTCTGTAAAAAAATCAATAAAATATATGAAATAAACAAAACAAAACAAATATTTTTATTGATTTTTTACAGAGAGGAAGGGAGGAGAAAGAGTTAGAAACATCGATCAGCTGCCTCCTGCACACCCTCCACCGGGGATGTGCCCGCAACCAAGGTACGTGCCCTTGACCGGAATCGAACCCGGGACCCTTCAGTCCGCAGGCCGACGCTCTATCCCCTGAGCCACACCGGTCAGGGGGACCTTGACCCTTCCTGAGTCAAGGCCAGCAGTTTGGCAGCAAGTCCCCGGATGGGAATTCGTGGGGCGTTTCCTCCCTGTTAGTCTCAGGTGGGGCAGCAGTTTCTTAATCTCCCTGAATCCCACCCTGAGAGCCCCCTGGAACAAGCAGGAGAGCGGAAGTTCACCGAGAACATCTCCCCCAAGCCGCTGGCCGTGGAGCCCCAGGAACCCCGGAATAGAAGTGGGTGGGGCCAAGCCCGAACCCGGACGGGGGGCAGGGAATGTGGGGGCTCGAATTCCCCCACCTGCCCTCAGCCCTGGAGGAGAAGCTGCCTCACGGTCAAGGGCTCGGTGAAAACATGGCAACAGCAGCAGCAGTCACATGTCCTGTGTGTGTGCACACGTGTGCGTGCATGTGTGTGTGTGTGTGTGTGTGTGTGTGACTTCACAAGCTCCATTAGTAAGAGACTACGGGAAGATGGAAGGTGCGGGTATGTTCTGGGCCCTCAGAGATCTTAGAATGAATGACTCAATAGAATCTCTTTTTTCCTGGTTGATTTTTAGAGGAAGATGCAAGAATCCTTGTCTTAGTTCCGAGGACCAAGAGGCCTTCCCATTTCTAGTGCCAAACGAACCCAGAAAACTACAACTCCCATGAGGCTGTGGGCAGGCAGTGTCATTCAACACAACCCCCTGCCACGGAGGGACCTCTGGGGAAGGGTTCCACAACACCAAGGGGAGGCTGGGATCCAGTGAACGGGGATGAGTTCTGTGCTGTCAAAGGGCAGGGATGGTCCAGAGTCCCTGGGGACCCCTTAGGGGACCCCCTTAGAAGGCCCAGAGGGATGCTGGGACCTTGTCACATCCTTTCAGCAATTGGGGGTGGGGGGAGCGTGTCCCTGGAGACAGGGGGCCAGGCAGCTCCCATTCCCTCCCTCCAACACACACGCTCACTCGGGTCCTTCGTTCAGACTCTTTATTGTCCCAAGTAAGAAAAATAAAAACATAAATACGATAAATAAGCCAATAAATAAGGGGCGGGCGGCCTCAGGACGTGTAGCTGGGGCTGCGGCCGGGCGAGGGCCACAGCATGCTCAGGGGGTCCGAGGAGCCCACGTCGGGGGGTGGGCCGGGGGCCGGGCCCCCCGGCGGCTCCGGGGGCGCGGGGGGCAGGCCGGGCAGCGGCAGGAAGCGGGCGGGCCCCCGGGGGGGCAGGTCCCCAGGGCCGGGGGGCAGGCGGAGCGGCAGGCCGCGGGCCTCCGACCGGTAGACGTTGTATCCGTCCTCCAGGAGCAGCTCCCGGAAGCTGCAGGCCTCGGGGTCAAAGCGGAGCTGAGGACACAGCGAAGAGGTCAGAGGTCAGAGGTCAGAGCCACGGCCATGGCCACGCCTCCCGCAGCTGCAGGACCTGGGGTCCGGCCTCCCACCCCGGCCTGGAGGACACCCCTACAGGGTCCTGCAAGGTCCCCACTCCCGGTCCCCACGTCACCAGGACCGACATTCCAGCCCGGGGGACGGTGGAGGCTGCCCGGACCAAGCAGGGAGCCTGGCTGCCAGCTGAGGTCAAGGTCACGGATGGCCGTGAGCCAGACACGTGGGGTCAGCAAGGGCCGTGAGTCAGACACGTGGGGTCAGTCACAGGCCTCGTGACTTGGGGCCATGGCATCCATCCCTGCCCGAGCCTCAGTTTCCCCTTCTTGCAAACGCGACACCAACAGCCTGGCTTCATGGTTCCCGGGGGCGGGAGGGGGGGACATCAGGTCCGGCCATGAAGAGAGCAGAGAACCGGCCTCGCCCGGCACCGGTGCCAGAGGCGGTCCCCAACGGTGACTCGGGGGAGGAAGGACTGGGTCCCAGGAGGGGACCGGACACTCACCGACCCGTACAGCCTCCCGTCCGGCCTCTGGCACAGGAACCTGGACGTCCTGACTCCCAAGATTTGAATGACCCCCGGCTTCAAGGCTTTCAGCTCCAGGAGGCCTGAGGGGGGAAAGAGTCAGAGACCCCGACGGCCTTTTCCAGCCCTCCTCCCTCAGACCCAGGCCCCCGGCCCTCCTCCCTCAGACCCAGGCCCCCGGCCCTCCTCCCTCAGACCCAGGCCCCCGGCCCTCCTCCCTCAGACCCAGGCCCCCGGCCCTCCTCCCTCAGACCCTGGCCCCCGGCCCTCCTCCCTCAGACCCAGGCCCCCGGCCCCTCCTCCCTCAGACCCAGGCCCCCAGCCCCTCCTCCCTCAGACCCAGGTCCCCAGCCCTCCTCCCTCAGACCCAGGCCCCCAGCCCTCCTCCCTCAGACCCAGGGGTCCAGGCCCCCGGCCCTCCTCCCTCAGACCCAGGGGTCCAGGCCCCCGGCCCTCCTCCCTCAGACCCAGGGGTCCAGGCCCCCAGCCCCTCCTCCGTCAGACCCAGGGGTCCAGGCCCCCAGCCCCTCCTCCCTCAGACCAGGCCCCCAGCCTCCTCCCTCAGACCAGGCCCTGCCCCCACGCTCACCCTCCGGACTCCTGTGAGCAGAGCCGACCACGCTGCCATCAGCCCTGATCTCCAGGTGGGCCTCCGTCTCCTGGGCATCGTCCGTGTAGAGGTACCGCTGCCTCACCTGGCCCCCAAACTGGAGGAGGGGGCTGGAGTCTGGGACGGGGAGGGCCCGGCAGGCTCCCAGCAGGAGGGCCAGCACAGGGACCCACCCCAGGGGCTGGCGCTGGGCGCGGACCCAGCCCATCGATGGCTCCGTCCTCTGCGAGGGCTCAGCCCGCAGCCTCAGGCACCGAGGGTCCGGGTTCTGGGCGTCCGGACGGCGGTCCAGGCACTGCAGTGCGGGCCTCCCCACGCCTGTGTCCTTCTGCACGTGGGTCCCAGGCCGAGGGACACCGGGCCTCTGGGAGAGATGCAGAAGCTCTGGGTTTATATCCACACCGACCCGCCCAGTCACCTTCTCCACGCCTGACCCGTGATTTTTGACCCACTTGGCAGGCGCGCCGATTCCACCGTGGCCAGGTCATCCGGACGGGTGATGCAATCCGGCAGGGGTCCTTCCAGCGGGGGGGCCTGGGCCCCTGGGTCTGAGGGAGGAGGGGCTGGGGGCCTGGACCCCTGGGTCTGAGGGAGGAGGGGCTGGGGGCCTGGACCCCTGGGTCTGAGGGAGGAGGGCTGGGGGCCTGGACCCCTGGGTCTGAGGGAGGAGGGGCTGGGGGCCTGGACTCCTGGTCTGAGGGAGGAGGGCTGGGGGCCTGGACCCCTGGTCTGAGGGAGGAGGGGCTGGGTGCCTGGACCCTGGTCTAAGGGAGGAGGGGCTGGGGGCCTGGGTCTGAGGGAGGAGGGGCTGGGGGCCTGGACCCTGGGTCTGAGGGAGGAGGGGCTGGGGGCCTGGGTCTGAGGGAGGAGGGGCAGGGGGCCTGGACCCCTGGGTCTGAGGGAGGAGGGGCTGGGGGCCTGGACTCCTGGGTCTGAGGGAGGAGGGGCTGGGGGCCTGGACCCTGGGTCTGAGGGAGGAGGGGCTGGGGGCCTGGGTCTGAGGGAGGAGGGGCTGGGGGCCTGGGTCTGAGGGAGGAGGGGCTGGGCGCCTGGGTCTGAGGGAGGAGGGGCTGGGCGCCTGGGTCTGAGGGAGGAGGGGCTGGGGCCTGGGTCTGAGGGAGGAGGGCTGGGGGCCTGGGTCTGAGGGAGGAGGGCTGGGGCTATAAACTGCCTGCCTGCCCAATGAGGGCTACAGCTGTGTCTGATTGCACCGGGACATCTCGCTCTGGGAGTCAGACCCTGAGGGCCTCCAGGCATCAGGAAACGAACCAGAGCCACGTGAGCAGTGTCCTCCTGGACCAGACTCCTCTCAGCAGCTGGTACCCAGACGCCCCGCCTCCTTCTCGGCCTCCGTCCAGACCAGGTGCCCCCAGCAAGGCCTGGGTGGAGGTGCGGTCTCTCACGCTGCAGGGGCAGGTGAGCCAGCTCCAGAGAAGGAAGTTAGACTAAGGTGGCCAGACGTCCCGCTTCTGGCAGGACAGTCTTTGTCTTTTTATAATATATTTTATTGGTTTTTTACAGAGAGGAAGGAGAGAGATAGAGAGCTAGAACCGTCGATGAGAGAGAAACATGGATCAGCTGACTCCTGCACAGCCCCCACTGGGGATGTGCCCGCAACCCAGGTACATGCTCTTGACCGGAATCGAACCCGGGACCTTTCAGTCCACTGGCCGACGCTCTATCCACTGAGCCAAACCGGCCTCGGCATGGCGGGACAGTCCTGATCTTTAATCATCTGTCCCTCGTCCCACAGCGTTTTAAAAAAGTGCCAATTGCCAAAACCGGTGTGGCTCAGTGGATAGAGCGTCGGCCTGCGGACTGAAGGGTCCCAGGTTGGATTCCGGTCAAGGGCATGTACCGTGGTTGCGGGCACATCCCCAGTGGGGCGTGTGCAGGAGGCAGCTGGTCGATGTTTCTCTCTCATCGGTGTTTCTAACTCTTTATCCCTCTCCATTCCTCTCTGTAAAAAATATTATATATATATATATATATATATATATATATATATTTTTTTTTTTTTTTTAAAGTCCGGATTCTTCAGAGGTATGTAAGAGGAGTGAACTGACGGTTCTTGGGGAAAAGGGGAGAGGGGGGTGCGGGAAGAGACTGAACATAAACTGTGCACCTACGGATGAGGACAATGGGGGGTGGGGAAAGGGCAGAGGGTGGGGTGGGAACCTGGTGGAGGGGAGCAATGGTGGTGGTGGGGGGGAAGGAACATTTGTAATAATATGAACAATAAAAACTTATTAAAAAAAAAAAAAAAGTCCGGATTCTTGGAAAGATTTTTTTGAAACAATTTGTCCCGCGTCCTGCATTAAAAATCGGGACTTTTTTAAAACGCCGCGGGACAAATTGTTAAAAATCGGGACGTGTGGTCACCTTACCTTGCCCATGCTCGGGAGGGGCGCCTTCAGGACCCGCCAGCCTGGAAAGCTGCAGTCCTCAGGGACCCCAGAGTCTCCCCGGCGGAGGGGCGGAGGGCGAGCCTGAGGAATGTGGGGCTGGGGAGGAAGGGGCAGGGGCACCCTCAGGCCGGGACCCATCCTGCAAGCTGGCGGCGGCGCCCCACCTGGCAAACAGGTTCTCTGTGGGACGCCGCTGCCAGCACTGCCCTCCCCTCGGGCTGAGTCGGGGCCCCACCCCGCGCGGCCGGGGCGAGGCCCAGCCGGGCGCATCCAGACACCGGGAGCCCAGGACCCCAGGGGAAGGGGGAGAGGCGGACGGACCGGATCGCCCGGGTCCGGCATGGCACTCCCTGCAGGTCCTGCAGAGGATGTGCTCCCGGGCGGCCGGGTAGCTGCCCAGGTCCGAGCCCGGGGAGAGGGGGTGGGTGGCGGGTGGGGACGGTGGGTGCCCGGAGGGCAGGGCTGGCCGGCGGGCGGGCGGACTCCAGCTGGGCTGGGGTGCAGGGGGGAGGGGAGAGGTGGGGCTCCACCTGGCAGCTGGGGCCGGGCTGGGAGAGGTAGAGGCCCGGAGCTTGGGACTTCGCCCGCCCGCGCTCCCAGCTCCCGGCGCTGCCTGCCGCGGCCGGTGCGGCGAGGAGGCGGCTGCAGGGAAGGGCTTTGGGCCCCGGGGACCCGGAGCCTGCGGTGCTGGGCGGCCGGAGAGAGACTGCTTTTGGGGGACACACCGAGCCAGTGGCAGATCCACCGGCCACCTGCCAGGAGCTCAGGTGAGTGGGGAGTGCAGACACCCCAAGCCCAGGCACCCCATCTCAGCCTCTAACCGCCCTGGACCTGAGCAGCCTCCCGCACCCATCACCCCAGTTCCTGCTCCCGGAGGCGGGGGGCGGGGGGCCCTGGTCCAGATCCCTTCTCCGTCCTGGGCCTCCAGCCCTCGGCGGTTTGGCGAGTCTCTTCCTGCCGTCTCTACGGATCTGGTCGCTCACACAGGGGTTCGCCTGGCCTGGCAGAGGCGCTGGGACACGGTCACACCGGGGCCTTTATTTGCATGCGGGCCTGACAGGCAGGGGCTGCGATCTTGGCAATCCCCTTCCCACCCCAACCCCCCGACCTCCAGCTCCTCCGCCCTCACCCCTGGCGCAGAGCCTCAGGCCCCTCATCCCTGGCGGCCGCGCCTCCCTCCCCCAGTCTTCCCGGCTCTGAGCTCCTTCCTGCTCCCTCGCCTCTTCCACCTGCAGCCATGTGGACCCTGGGCCGGCATCGCCTCTGCCTGACGTTCCTGCTCCTGTGCGCCCTCGCGGGATTCTGCTTCCTCCACACCTACCGCGGCCTCCTCGGCGGCGGCGGCGGCGGCCTGGGGCTGTCGTTCCCGTGTGCAGGCCGACCCCTGGCGGCCACCCCGGTGGCCGTCTTCTGCCCGGCAGGTGCTCGGGCGGCCCTCAACGCCTCCTCCTGCCCCGAGCCCCCCGCGCCCCCCTCGGGAGCCTGGACCATCGTCCCGGACGGCCGGCTCGGCAACCAGATGGGGCAGTACGCCACGCTGCTGGCCCTGGCCCAGCTCAATGGCCGCCAGGCCTTCGTGCTGCCCGCCATGCACGCCGCCCTGGCCCCGCTGTTCCGCGTCACGCTGCCCGTGCTGGCGCACGAGGTGGACGGCCGCACGGCCTGGCAGGGCCTGGAGCTGCACGACTGGATGTCGGAGGAGTACACCCGCCTGCGGCAGCCGCTGCTCAAGCTGTCCGGCTTCCCCTGCTCCTGGACCTTCTACCACCACCTGCGGGAGCAGATCCGCCGGGAGTTCACGCTGCACAGCCACCTCCGGGAAGGGGCCCAGCGGTTCCTGGCGGGGCTGCGCCTGCCGGGCACCGGGGCGCCCCCCAGCACCTTCGTGGGGGTCCACGTGCGCCGGGGGGACTACCTGGAGGTCATGCCCCAGCGCTGGAAGGGCGTGGTGGCCGACCGCGCCTACCTGCAGGCGGCCATGGACTGGTTCCGGGCCCGGCACCAGGCCCCGGTCTTCGTGGTGGTCAGCAACGGCATGGCCTGGTGCCGGGAGAACGTGGACGCGTCCCGCGGGGACGTGGTGTTCGCGGGCGACGGCGTGGAGGCCTCGCCCGAGAGCGACTTCGCGCTGCTCACGCAGTGCAACCACACCGTCATGACCATCGGCACCTTCGGCTTCTGGGCGGCCTACCTGGCGGGCGGGGACACCGTCTACCTGGCCAACTACACGCTCCCGGACTCGCCCTTCCTCAAGGTCTTCCGGCCCGAGGCCGCCTTCCTGCCCGAGTGGGTGGGCATCGCCGCCGACCTGTCCCCGCTGCAGCAGCGGCCGTGGGGCTTCGCCTGACCCACCCAGGGCCGGCCCGACGCGGCTCCCGGGGCCCCGCCGCTTCTGGAGACGCTGGTGGCGGCCCCGCGGCTGGTGGGCAGCGTTTTGCGAGGGGTTCCAGTTGGCCAGGCTTTCGGGGGAAGCGAGAGGCTCCTCCCAGCAACTGCCTGGAAATATTCTATCTAGAAGCGGCAGGAAGCGTCTTCCTGACCGGCAATGCCCGGGGAGGCTCCGGATCGCCCGTCCTTCCCAGCCCTTATCCGCACTGTGGACGGCTGCCCCCCAGCCGCCGGGAGCTCCGGATCACCCGTCCTTCCCAGCCCTTATCCGGCAATGCCCGGGGAGGCTCCGGATCGCCCGTCCTTCCCAGCCCTTATCCGGCAATGCCCGGGGAGGCTCCGGATCGCCCGTCCTTCCCAGCCCTTATCCGGCAATGCCCGGGGAGGCTCCGGATCGCCCGTCCTTCCCAGCCCTTATCCGGCAATGCCCGGGGAGGCTCCGGATCGCCCGTCCTTCCCAGCCCTTATCCGCACTGTGGACGGCTGCCCCCCAGCCGCCGGGAGCTGCCCTCTCTCGGGCTAACTCACTCAGGGCTCAGGTCTTTTCTAGAAGAGGCGTTTTTCCTCGCCTGGACCCTCAGGACTGAAGGAACTCACGGGTGCTCCAGGGCAAGCACCGGCCAACGCCCCTTGTGTTTCTGGGGTGGTTCCAGGCGGGCCATTTGCTCTAGAGAGGGCCCCGCGCTATGCCCCCGATGAACCCCGCAGAGGGAGGGGTGGGGGTCACTTTGGTGAAGAGCTGAGTACCATCAGAAGCTCCACTTCCAGGAAGACGGATGGCGGACAAATTGTGTTTTGCTGGGGCAGTTTGTGAGACGAGGGAAACCGGAGTCACCTCTCAGCCCCCCTCCTCCCCCCGTGAGGAAAACCACAAAGACACGCCCCCCTCCCCCCCCACCCCGGCGGATAGGCTGAAAGGTGGGAGGTGGAGGGAGGGGGTGGCTGCTGAAATGCGGGCACTTCTGGCTGCAAGGCTTTCCAGAAACGCAATGGGACTTTTTACGCACAAAGACGGGCACTGCCCACGTTGGCTCCCAGTATGGGGTGCGTCTCCCAGTTAAGGGTGGTCCTTCCTCCGCAGCTGAGCTGCTGGGGGAGATGGGATGGAATAAATGTGCCCTCTGAGCTGGCAGGAAGCCGCTGGTGTGGTCCCCCTTGCCAACCACTGTCTGTCTGCCCCTAAAGTCTCTGACTTTGACCTTGGGCAAGCGCGGGACAGAAAGAGCCAAGGGTGTGCAGACCCTGGACTAGCCTCATACCCAAGCAGGAGTGCCCTTGGCTAGGACCTGGCCAAGCAGGACCGGATTCTTGACTCAGGTTTCAGGACTCCTCGGTGCTTTTTGAAGGGGATACTTTTATTACAGACTTGTTTCTAGTCTTCTCATGGAATTTTTTTTTGGGGGGGGAGGGGGGGTGGGACTATTCTCTACTCAGCTGCCACAGGTGGGAGAGGGAGGTATGAATTAAAAGTCCACACCACCACCGAAACCGGTTTGGCTCAGTGGTGAAGCATCGGTCTGCGGACTGAAGGGTCCCGGGTTCGATTCCAGTCAAGGGCATGTGTGTTGGTTGCAGGCACATCCCCAGTGAAGGGTTTGCAGGAGGCGGCTGGTGGATGGTTCTCTCATCGACGTTTCTGGCTCTCTCTCTCTCTCCCTTCCTCTCTGTAAAAAATCAATAAAATATATTTTAAAAAATAAAAGTCCACATCACCAAACTCTGACTCTGTAATTTTTTTTTTTTTTTTTGAATCGTGTGTGTGTGTGTGTGTGTGTGTGTTAGGAGGAAAAGTGCTGACCTTCCAGGGACTCTCATGGCTCACGTCTTAGGGTATCCTCCCTGCTCAGCTCTGGCAGCCTCTTGTTGTCAGACTTGTGGTCTCTGAGCCCCAATTCCATTCTCACCTCTCCACACTGGCCCCCAGACCTCACTTTCCTCCGGGACCTTGGCATTCAAGCCCCAGAGGCTGGGAGCCAAGGTGGAGGAGGAAGTGAGCGCGGCGTACAATTCCTGAACTACATTTCCCATAATGCTGCGGGGGTCGGCTGCGGCGCTCTGGAGAGAGACACCAGGGGCCTGCTGGGAGTTCTAGTCCTAGGGCTGGGAAGGGCCGCTTCTCGCGTCCTCCCAGGTCGACGCCGGGGTCTTGGGCATCTGGTTGGGAGCTTGGGTTTTCCTGGGGCCCGGGATGGGGAGGGAGCTGAGGCCGGGATTCCTTTCCTCGTGTCTGGAACGCCAGAGCCCAAGGGGTGCCTCCTTCGATAAATGCTGGGGAAGTTCCGGTCTCAAAGGCGGCCGCCTCTGTGACGTCAAAGCGCGATGGGCGGGGACTCCCTTTGTTGCGGTCCAATCAGATTCGGCGTGCGGCTTCTGGGCGGGGCCAGGGAAGGCCCCTCCCCCCAGTGTTGTCCCTTGGGAGTTCGGGGCTCCAAGTAGGAAGTTAGAAGACGGAGGCTGTGTTGGGGGGGGCGGGGGAGTACCTTGCGGACAGGGGCGAACCGTGTCAAATGCTCTCTATGCCACGCAACCAACCTCCCCCTCGCCCCTAACAAACTCTTTAACTGTAGCAAAGGGGAAATATTAGAGTGGAAGGAAGGTCCTCCTCTCAAAGCCCTCGGAACCTGGAGTCGGCTCTTCAGCGAACCTTAGTGTTTTGAGAGCACAAGACTCTGGAGTCCAGATCTTCAGCGAACCTTAGTGTTTTGAGAGCACAAGACTCTGGGCCGTGGCTGATGAGGGTGCATCGGGACTCCTCCTTTTCCTAACGAGAAGTGTGCGTCCTGCACATTGCGGGGTCCATTAGTCTCGCTGAGGGCTCACCTCCTCCGGGGGAGAGAGGACTTTTCCCGGAGGCCGGCGTGGGTTGGACGCTCTGGCCTCCAATGGGGCCGCGGTTTTCCCTCCTGGTGGCCGCGCTGGGCAGCTGCCTGCTTCCTGCCCTCGGTTGTCTCATATGTGATAAAAGGGTCGTGGATGCGCTAAAAAAGATGGAGACGGATTACCTGCCTGATCACCTGGACGCTCAGTATCACAAAGACTTGATTGAAAAGCTATCGAATGGCATGAGGGAGTTCGAGAACCTGCAGCTTGAGGATGAGAGCTTTTTGGGGGTCATTGGTGAGGGCCAGGCAGAGCCGGGACTCCTGGGTCCTGGGAAAGGAGGGATCTGGGACTAGGGTTGCTGGGGCGCAGGGGTGAGAGGGCTGGAGACAGTCTTCTGGGCTTGGGTACAGATTTAGAGGGTTTCCCTAAAGGCTAGAAATTTTATGCAACAAAACTACAATTCCCAGAAAGCAACAGGCGGATAATCCCCCTAACCAGGCCTATCCTTGCCCAGTGGCCCCATGGGTATTGTAGTTTCTAAAACTAGGTGAGCCATTGGAATATGAGGTTCTGTCCTCCCCTACCCCCCCCCCCCCCGCCCCCAACACACATAGATGATCCCACACTGGAAAAGGGAACCATGAGTTTTCTGAAGCAACTGAAACGCATCACGGACAGTGACGTAAAAGGTAAATGCATGGAGGAGACGGGAGGGGCTCCAGGGAAGTGATGGATGGCGATGATGCCAGGTTAGGCACTGGGCTGTGGCACCAGGCTGCCTAGGTTCAGTTCCTGGCTCTGCCACTTGCAGGCTGTGTGGCCTTGCAGCTCCGTCACCCTAAAATGGACCCCACACCAGTGCTCTCTCGTCCCAGTTGTTGCTTAGCCAGTATGTTAAGTGGCCACTCAGTTTCACTGTTCTTCCCGGGGAAGCCGAAAAGCAGAGCGCCAGGCTCTGTCTGCAGAAGACAGAGGCACACTTCCTGCACCTCACTCACACCCAGGACCCCGCTTCTTCCTGCTTCTTCCCAGGTGAGCTCTTTGTGAAGGAGCTGTTCTGGATGTTGAAAAACGAAAAGGAGATCTTGTCCAGACACGTTTCTGTGTTCCAACAAGACGGTGAGGGAAGATGGGGGTCCAGGGCCCCCACCTCTCCGTGCGCAGTCCAAGAGTCCTTGTCCTTAGCCCCTTGCTTCTCCAAGTCTGGCCCCTCAGCTCTCCCCACCCTCCTCCCTCAGACCCAGGGGTTCAGGCACCCAGGTCCTTCCTCCCACAAAACTGGGAGTCCCCCCCCACCCCACCCTTGCCCCTCTCTCGTCTCCTTTAACTTAACAACACGATTGTCTTTCTCTCTCTTCCGAGGCAGTTCTCTGTCCCAACAAATGTGGTGAGTGCGGACGATGGGAGCTGTCCCTCTTCCCCTCATCCCTCCTGTGACTGCACAGCCTTTCTCCCACCCCTGCTGGGTCTCTCTCCGCATCTCTTCTCCGCGCCTGCCTGCGAGGTTCCGGGTCTCCAGCATTCCTTCTGCACCAAGGCCATCTGGGGGAGCACTTTTTCTGGAGCCTGGTTAGATCTGGGCTTGCTGCCGAGCTACGAGCTGCGCTCGAGCCCTGCCCTGCCCTGCCCCGCCCTGCCCATGGCCTGCCCCGGCCCTCTCCTTCGAGCCCCGTCTCTCAGTGGGGACAGACGGCCTTGACCTTGACCCTGGCTCCTGCAGGCATGATGTTGCAGTCCATGATCTGGTGCTCCACATGCGAGAAGAAGCTTCACGCCTGTCGGAAGAAAGCGGACTGCGGGGGTGCGAGAGCCGGGCCCCAGAGGAGGGGTTGGCGCCGAGGGGGTGGAGCAGCCAGAGGCGGTGACTGAGTCCAGAGAAGGCCAAGACCACAGGCAGCTGAGGAGAAAAGGCGGGGCTGGCCCAGCGGATGGGAGTTGGGGGGAAGGCCCAGAGCCACACAGGGAGCAGCACCCCACCGTAACCCCCTCTCCCCAGAGCGCAAAGTCAAGGTCCACGAAACGGAAGACATGATCCTGGACTGTGAGCTCAACTGGCATCACATTTCCGAAGGCCTGACTGACTACAGCTTTTTCAGGGTGGGGCCCTCCAGCCCTGCACCCTTGAACTTCCAGGGCCACCAGGCCCGTGGGAACCCCGTCTCACGATCCCCATGACCCCACGACCTGCTAGGTTTGGCTGCCAATGACCCCGTCCTGTCAGTAGGGACCCTTAGACCCTGACCAGTAACCCAGGACTCCCATCTCCCCCCTCTGAGACCCGTCACCTTCTCACCCCCGGACTGCCCCCCACGCCCCAACTTCCCAGGCCTCTGTGACCCCCTTGAGCTTGGGTCTAGGTTTGGAAGAACAAAACAGAGAGTTTGGTGTACAAGGGGACGGCGCCCACCCTGACCAAGCCCAACGTGAAGGCCTCGGACGCGGGCGCCTACCGCTGCCAGCTGAACACCGTGAATGACCTCCCGGCCACCATCATCCATTATCAAGTCCGAGGTCAGCGCCCGGCGTGTGGGACTCCGCTTCAGGGCTGCGTGTGGGGGAATGACTTCCTGCCACCATGTGGACTTGGGCCAGGAGTGTCACTTCCTGCCCCGCGGGTGGGGCCGGCCACGTAGGCAGGGTTTCCTTCGGTGTGGGTGGGAGCACGGTGATTACCTCCTGCTGGGGCTGGGTCCTGGGGGGCCGAGGGGGCAGGGAGGGCTCGCCTTGACTGTGCTGGGACCTCCTTCGTGCCTTCCCGGATTACTCCTTTCTTTTTTAAAAAAAATGTATTTTATTGCCAAAACCGGTTTGGCTCAGTGGATAGAGCGTCAGCCTGCGGACTGGGGGGTCCCGGGTTCGGTTCTGGTTAGGGGCATGTGCCTTGGTTGTGGGCACGTCTCCGGTGGGAGGTGTACAGGAGGCAGCTGGTCGATGTTTCTCTCTCATCGATGTTTCTAACTCTCTATCCCTCTCCCTCTCTGTAAAAAGTCAATAATATATATTTATTATTATTATTTATTATTTTTTTATTTTTAAAATATATTTTATTGATTTTTTACAGAGAGGAAGGGAGAGGGATAGAGAGCCAGAAACATCAAATGAGAGAGAAATATCAACCAGCTGCCTCTTGCACACCTCTTACAGGGGATGTGCCCGCAACCAATGTACATGCCCTTGACCGGAATCGAACCTGGAACCCTTCAATCCGCAGACCAACGCTCTATCCACTGAGCCAAACCGGTTTCGGCTAATATATTTTTTAAAAAATAAAAAACATAAAATATATTTTATTGATTTTTTTTTTTTTTTTACAGAGAGGAAGGGAGAGGGATAGAGAGCTAGAAACATCGATGAGAGAATCATCGGTCAGCTGCCTCTTGCACTTCTCCTACTGGGGATGTGCCCACAACCAAGGCACATGCCCTTGACCGGAATCGAACCTGGGACCCCTTCAGTCCGCAGGCCGACGCCCTACCTACTGAGCCAAACCGGTTTTGGCTGGATTACTCCTTTCTTAAGGTGACCAGACGTCCTGATTTTTTAACAATGTGTCCTGCGTTCTGCGGTGTTGATCCAAAAATCGGGACTTTTTTTTTTTTTTAAATGCCGCGGGACGCGGGAAACATTGTTAAAAAATCGGGACGGGCCAAAACAGGTGTTTCTAGCTATCTATCCCTCTCACTTTCTCTCGGTAAAAATTCAATAAAATATATATATTATTGACCTGGGACGTCAGTCCGCAGGCCGACGCTCTATCCACTGAGCCAAACCGGTCCCCGCAAAATATATATATATTTTTAAAAAATCGATAGGGACTGTCCTGCCCAATGCGGACGGCGTCTGGTCACCTTGTCCACCTTTCTCCTCCTCGATCAGTGTTGCCCCCCAGGGAGGCGGAAGAGACGCCGTCCACCGTCGTCCCCAAACCGGAGGACCTGGACGTGGCCCTGGACGAGGTGACGTGGGCTCCCAACAGGTCGTCCACGACCCCGCCGCCGCCGCCGCCCTCCGCGGCGCCCGCGCCCACGGTGGAGAGCATGCTGAGGAGCCTCCTGGTCGGGCTGCTGATCTGGGGCTTTGTGGTGCTGATAGCCAGCATCGTCATCTTGTGAGCAGCCTCCGAGGAAGTGAGGGTTATGGAGTGGGGGGAGGGACTTCCAGTGCAGCGGGGGGTGTGGGAGCCGGGGAGGCCCTGGAGCTGAACTGCTAAGGGGGGCGGAGGGCGGAGGCATGTGAGGGTGAAGAAGCTCGGGTCGTTGCTGGAATAAGATCAGATCTCTGCACGGAGGAGGCTGGGATCTGAGCCCCGTCCGGCTGTTTTGCACCCCGCTGTCTCCCAGGATGCTCTGCTATTGGTCTGAGAAGAGTCCTGGCTACTTCATCGACTCCATAAAGACCTGGCTCAGCACTGCCCCGGAGGCGGCTCAGAGCCCCGACGTCCCAGAGAAAACGGCCAAGAAATCCAGGAGCCAATAAAAGATTTATTTGATTGTTTTAAGTGTCTGACGCACTCGTGCATGCCGATCTCAGCTCTTGGTGTCCCCACCCCCCCACCCCGGAGAGCAGAGGTCTGGGGACAAGCCTCCTATCTGGGTGGGGGGGGGGGCCTGGAGCCGGGCCCGGGGATCCTGGCAGGGCCCAAGGGCTGCAGCGTGCCCCGGGACGAAGGCGCGGGGCAGAGCTAGGGCTGCCCAGGTCTCCTCCTCCAGGCCCGGTCCCCTCACAGGACGCCCCCTCCCCGCTCTTCCTGCCCGGTTTCCTCTCGCCTTTTCCTGTCCCCCACCCAGTGCTGGGAGCCGGGGCAGAGGAGAGGCTGGACGGGAGCCGTGGGGTCGGGAACAGACCCAGGCCTACGGAGCCAGGGCCCTCCGGGGTGCTGCCAGGACCCCGAAGCAGGGTAAGAGCCCGGGACCCAGGAGTCCAGATCCCTCCTCCCTCAGATCCAGGGCTCGGTCCTCGGCCACTTCCCGTCCCATACCCAGGAGGCCAGGCTGCCTTCCCGTTCCTCCACCCAGACTCAGGAGCCTGGGCCCCAGCCCCCTCCAGGCTCTGACCCAAGTCCAGGTCCCCTCCAGCAGCCCATTCCCCGCGGGCTCAGAGCCTCAGGAGCCCGGCCTTGCCCACCCCCCGCAGGGCCATGCTTTCTGGTGAGCGGAAGGAGGGCGGGAGCCCCCGCTTCGGGAAGCTGCATCTCCCCGTGGGCCTTTGGATCAATTACCCCAGGAAGCAGCTGGCCAAGCTGGGGCGGCGCTGGCCCAGCGCAGCCTCCGTCAAGTGAGTGCCCTCCTCCCCGGGACTCCTGCCCCTGCCCCTGCCCCGAGGGCCTCTGGCCTGTCCTTGTCCACGACCCAGGCCCTGCCCTGGGCAGTGCCAGGGGCCTCTGAATGGGCTGCGGTGGGGAGGACGCAGTGGGCCCCAGGGCCCGGGTGGGGGAAGTGCTGGGCGTGGACACAGGGTGGGGACCCAGAGGAGATGGGTTGGATTCCCTTCTTTCCCTGACCACCTTTTGAGATCCTCCTTCGGGATCTTATTGATTTATTTAATCTCTTATTTATTGATTTATTTAATCTCTTTCCTTGTCTCTGGCTTCTGCATTCTCACCTCCATTCGCTCTACGCTTCTCCCCTTTCTGTCCGTCCCTGGCCCGTCTCCATGGGCCTCTGTCCCCCTCCCCCCCAACCTGGGTCTTTGTCCGCCTCCCTCCCTCCCTCCCCCCGCCTCTCCGCTCCCCGGCGGGCTCCCAGGTCCTCCTCTTCAGACACGGGGAGCCGCAGCAGCGAGCCGCTGCCCCCGCCGCCGCCGCACGTGGAGCTGCGGCGGGTGGGCGCGGTGAAGGCGGCCGGCGGAGCCTCGGGGAGCCGCGCCAAGCGCATCTCCCAGCTCTTCCGGGGCTCGGGGGCCGGGGTCGCGGGATCCGGCGTCGCGGGGGGTCCCGGGACCCCGGGCAGCGCGCAGCGCTGGGCCAGCGAGAAGAAGCTGCCGGACCTGGCGGCGGGCGTGGCGCCCGAGCCCCCGCTGGCCACCCGCCCGGCCGCGCCCCCGGGCGTCCTCAAGATCTTCGGCGCGGGGCTGGCGTCGGGCGCCAACTACAAGAGCGTGCTGGCCACGGCGCGCTCCACGGCCCGCGAGCTGGTGGCCGAGGCGCTGGAGCGCTATGGGCTGGCCGGCAGCCCCGGCGGCGGCCCCGGCGACAGCAGCTGCGTGGACGCCTTCGCGCTGTGCGACGCGCTGGGCCGGCCCGCGGCGGGCGGCCTGGGCAACGGCGAGTGGCGCGCGGAGCACCTGCGCGTCCTGGGCGACGCGGAGCGGCCGCTGCTGGTGCAGGAGCTGTGGCGGGCGCGGCCCGGCTGGGCGCGGCGCTTCGAGCTGCGCGGCCGCGAGGAAGCTCGCCGCCTGGAGCAGGAGGCCTACGGGGCCTCCGACGGCGAAGGTGAGGCGGGCCTGGGGCCTGGGGGCGGGGCCTGGGGCAGGAGCTGATCCAGGGCGGGGCCTTGGGCGGGGCTTTGGGGGGCGGGGCCAGGCTAGTGCTGACTCAGGGGCGGGGCCAGGCGGAGGAATGGGTCGGCTTGGGGGCGGGTCCAAGCGGCGGGAGGGGCCGGCTTGGGGCGGGGTCAGGCGGCGGGAGGGGCCGACTTGGGGGCGGGGCCTTGGGGCGGGGTCTTAGGGCGGGGCCTGCGGGAAGGGGCTGGAGATGACCCAGGGGCGGGGCCAGGCGGAGGAATGGGTTGGCTTGGGGGCGGGGCCAGCGATAGGCGGCCTGCAGGGCTGGAAGCGAAGCCCCTGGAAAGGGACCGGGCGAGACCTAGAGCACTGGGTCAAGAGGAGGAAAGGTTGGGTTCAGACCCGGGTCACCCAGAGGTGCTAGGCCAGAGCCCTGGGGAGAAGTGCAGCGCCCATGGACGGGGCCTCTGGGGCCGGGCGGGGCGTGCAGAATAGAGGGGCCTGGAGCTGGAGGTGCTGGGCGGGCGGGTGAGCGGCCTGGGTTCCCCAGACAGGAGGCCTCTGCCCTCGGCGGATGGAGACTAGAAGGGGAGGGACCTGGAGCGAGGAGAAACGGGCGGCCCGACCAAAGCCTGAGAGTGGGCGGAGCCTCAGAGGGGCGGGCCTTGGAGCTGGTGGCTTGAGGGTAGGAGACCCGGGAAGATGGGGCCTGGAACTGGAGGTGGTGCCATTGGTGAAGCAGCAAGTGTGGAGCGAGAGGAAAGAAGAGGGATAGAGAGATAGGAACATCATGGCTGCCTCCTGCATGCCCCCTACTAGGGATGGAGCCTGAAACCGGGCATGTGCTTTGCCTGGGAATCGAACCGGTGACTTCTTGGTTCCTGAGTTGATGCTCAACTGCTGAGCCACACCGGCTGGGCCATCATTGTCTTTATTCTTTTTTTAAAATTATTCTTCAAAAAGCATTCATTGGGCACCTACTCTGGGCCACACGCTAAGGACCCTGGGAGAACACAATGGGGACATTGGCCGGTGACGTTCCCAGCCTCCTGGATTGCGCAGCCCCGTGAGAAACACATCAGTTCACCGGCTCACCTCACCTCCTCCGCTAGGCGCCTGCTGGATGCCAGGGCCGTGCTGGGTGTGCCCAGGGGTGCCATTCTCTGCTTCAGCTTGGCATGTCAGGGAAGGGCGTTGTGTTTCCACCGGGCAGGGTCTTCTCTGCTCACTGCAAAGTCCCTCGTGGCCAGAACAGAGCCCAGCACATACCAGAGGCTCAAAATACATTGAATGAATGAATTTCTGACTTAAAGGTGGGGATGGGTAGGAGTCAGGCGGAAAAAAATACCTATCTCCAGGCACAGGGGACAGCATGGGCAGCCCCATCTCTCCGGAGCCAACTCTGTCCCTCGATAACCGCCCGATTTCTGAGATTTCTGAGTCGGTCTCTCCGGGTCCTTTCCCAGGTCCAGCCTCATTGCTCGCCCCGTCTCTCCCCGCAGGCTCAGGCCCCGCCTTGTGGAGGCCACAGAAGAACCGCTCCCGGGCGGCATCCGGCGGGGCGGCCCTGGCCAGCCCCGGCCCCGGGTCCGGGTCGGGGACGCCGGCCGGGCCGGGCAAGGAGCGCTCGGAAAACCTCTCTCTGCGGCGCAGCGTGTCCGAGCTCAGCCTGCAGGGCCGGCGGCGGCGGCAGCAGGAGCGCAGGCAGCAGGCGCTCAGCATGGCCCCGGGGGCGGCCGACGCCCAGATCGTGCCCACCGACCCCAGCGACTTCGATCAGCTGACCCAGTGCCTCATCCAGGCCCCCAGCAACCGGCCCTACTTCCTGCTGCTCCAGGGCTACCAGGATGCCCAGGTTCGCTCAGCCCCTCTCGCCCAGGGAGCCCTGTGCCCCACCCACCTTTAGGCTGAGGGGCGACAGAACTACAACCCCCAGCATCCCCTGGGTTACCGTGTGCTGGAAGGTGTGGACCCAGCCAGGTAGGAGCCGCTGGAGGAGAGGGTAGTGGGGGTGGACGAGGATAGATGGCTGAGAAAGACACCCGGACGAGCAGGGAATAGTTCTCTTCATTCAAAGTGGGGGAAAGCACTTTTGGAGGATGGCAGAGCCTGTGGTAGAAAGATCTCCGTGAGGGTGCCTCGAGGGAAGTAATGGGAGAGTCTGTCTTTTCGGGGAGCCTGTATTTCCTGGAGAGGAGCGGACAAATCCTTTTATATTTATTTATATTTTTAAAAATATATTTTATTGATTTTTTACAGAGAGGGAGAGGGATAGAGAGTTAGAAACATCAATAAGAAAGAAATATTGATCAGCTGCCTCCTGCACACCTCTTACTGGGGATGTGCCCGCAATCAAGGTACATGCCCTTGACCAGAATCGAACCCGGGACCTTTCAGTCCACAGGTCGACGCTCTATCCACTGAGCCAAACCGGTTTCGGCTGAATCCTTTTTAATTTTTTTTAATTTTAATTTTAATTTTATTTTTCACATCGGACTGGTCATGTGCCGAAGGCGTAACAAAGTTAATGGGCGGCACATCTCACACAGCTACGTGAACACCCAATCATCACGCTTATGAACTCCAAAAGGATATGAATCCTTTTTTAAAAGGTGGCTTACACTGGAATGGTTTTTAAAAAAATATTTTATTGATTTTTTTTTTTTTTTTTTTTTTTTTTTTTTTTTTTTTTTTTTTTTTTACAGAGAGGAAGAGAGAGGGAGAGTTAGAAACATCGCCCTCCAACTGGAATTGAACCTGGGACCTTTCAGTCCGCAGGCCAATGCTCTATCCACTGAGCCAAACGGGTCAGGGCTTCACCAGGATTTGACCATTATTGATGGGGGCAGATGGTTCTGCTCTTTCTGTTTGACATACGCAGTAGACTTATTTAAGTGTCAAGGAGCAGAGAGGGAGAAAGGGCTAGCAGCTGGGAGTTGGTGGGAAGTTATTTCATTCCAAGGACTGTAATGTAGTAGTGGAAATACTCATATTTCTGTGTGATGATTGGGAGAATCATCCTGATAGTGTCCTCT